TCCTTATACCATAGACTCTAGTTAGGAAGAATCTAGCTATTCTATAGATTACTCCAGGCCAACCCATAAAAGGACACAAGGTCAACATGGATGAGCCTATATGACCTTACGTTAAGTGAAATAAGCCAAGCATGGAAGGATAAATACTGCATGTTCTCACTCATGTGTGGAAGCCAGATAAGTAGACCTCACAGAAGCAGAGAGTAGAATGTGGTAACTAGAAGCTGAGAAGAGGAGTGGGGGAGAGGGGAATATGAAGAGGTTGGTTAACAGATACAAAGTTACAACTAGATAGGAAAAATAAGTTCCAATGTCCTATAGCACTGTAGGGTGACTGTAGTTAATAATTTACTCTACATTTTCAAATAGCTTGAAGCGATGATTTTGAATGTTCCTAACACAAAGAAATGATAATTGTTTGAGATGATGGATATGCTAATTATCCTGATTTGACTATTATCCATTGTTTATATGTATTGAAACATCACACCATAACCCATGAATATGTGCAATTATTATATGTCAATTAGAAATAATTTTAAGAGAAAGGACCCTAGGCAAAGAGGTTTGAGGATTAAGTTACTTTCTGCTTTTTATTTTTTCCATCTGTTATCCCTGAGCCTCCAAAAAGTTTTTTTTGAACTTCATGCTCTCTATGTACTGTGCAGGTGGTAGGGGGAAAGGAGTGAACCCCTTGAAGCCAGTGTGTTGGTGGCAGAGGTGATTAGGAATACTCAAAGGGAAAATGACTCACAGTGGGCAACAACAATAGTTTATAAGACTGAGTCATTCTTCTTGAGAAAATCCTACTGTCACTGTCCAGCTTGATGGCTCTGAAGGTCTTTTTTTTTTTTTTTTTTTTTTTTTTTGACCAGTAAGGGGATCATAACCCCTGGCTCGGTGCCATCTGCACCATGCTCAGCCAGTGAGCGAACCGGCCATCCCTATATAGGATCTGAACCCGTGGCCTCTGCAATATCGGCGCCACACTCTCCGGAGTGAGCCACGGGGCCAGCAGCCTGAAGGTCATTTTTGACAAAAATCCCTTAATAAGAGAGCCAGAAAGATTTCTTATGAGAAGAGTACACAAAGAAAAAAGGAACTAAATTTAACATTGGAAATATTTTTCATTTTGAGTACTTTTGAGGGGACCAGAAGTAATATAAGGCCTAATTTCTATTTAATCTGCAGGCTTCAAAATGTGGAAGATTCAGGTTTAATTAAGAAAGCCCTTTTCTCAGAGTTTAAAGTTAGGCTGATGTTAAATTTATTAGGTTAGAATATGTAAAATAAGTATCTTCTTAATTCTGACTATATACATTAAAGTATCTTTCTTATAACATTATATGTGGTTTTAATTCACTCAGTACTTCTGCTTCTTCTCCTATAAAATAGTGGATCTCAACATCATTTCTAATCCTATAATATAATTTTCATAATGGGTTTTTTGTTTTTGAGAACACTAAACCTAGTGACACAGCTCTTTATCTCAACAGAGTATTGAAACAAAGAATTTATATTTCTGGTAAAGATTTGACCTTGTTACTGCCCAGTTGTTTTATTTTACACTAAATCTATTCTGATCTATTATGGGGGTATATAAAACATAAGCAAAATGGTCAAAGTTATTTACCCTAATATTAAAGCCAATTATTTTATACATTGTTAAAATATTACCATTAAAAAACAAGCAGTTTTCTTTTAACTTCACTCATCAAATAAAATTAGGTAAGGGAACTTACAATGATAAAATACACACAGTTAACTCTTACCTCTATGTTATATTTCTGAGCCAGAATTAACTCTGCTCAGGATGCTCCTAAACTGCCTGCCGTAGGAGTTTAGGCTGCATATATATGTTGTGTGCATGTGTGTGTACAGTCTTGAAGGCAAAAACAAAACTGAATTGAAAAGACAGTGAATCAACTAAAAAGTACCCATAAATCATTGACAAGTTAAATATAAATGACTGAAATTAATAACATTGTCTCCTTCACAAATATACTTACTTAGGAAAGTATTTCCTTTACAAATGGGCCAAAAACAAACTCTTACTATGTGAACCATTATTTTCCTCAACTTTAACATGTAAACTAAAACCTTTACAGTCCTGCTAGACTATCAAGATTCTGGAGTTTGGGGATCTTGCTTAATGTGCTCACCATGATGTTTCCAGTGTCTAGCTCTGAGATCCACACAGGGGAGGGAACATGTGTCACACCCACACTGTACACCCTACGGTCCAAATTAACATTTACATAACTATGACAATGAGTGACAATGGAAAGATCACAGATCCCAAATCATGGAGTGAAAAAATTTAGGCTATAAAAACAATTTATCATATAATCTAATCTAATAAAATTGATGTGAACACAGAAATTAGAAACGTCTCTCAAAATAACACTGAATTTAGGTGATTTTTACTTTCTTCTTTATACTTTTCTGTATTGCTTGAATTTTTGGCACATTTAAATTAGTATCAAATATAAAAGTATTAAGATATTGTGTTAAGATTATCAGGAAAAATTTATTATTTTTATTTAAAACAAATCTGTTCCAATGAAGGTTAAAATAAACAGACACTTCTTCCAATCTATAGTTCATGCTCTTAAATTACTTTGAAATTTTCTGATAATGCATTTCAAAAGAAAATTATTGAATGGATTGATACTTAAGTTTTAAAAATGCCAGTTAAGTTAAAATTTAAGTAAATTTTAATACATACTCTAAGTCCACCTGCTGGTGGGGGTCCTGATGTAGCGATTTGTTTTTCTATTTTTTCCTTTTTCTTTCTCTTTTCTTCCACAGATCGAACATCCAAAATTCCCCGAGATGCAGCCTTTTAGAAATTTTATAAGGGGTACAGAAAAATAACAAAAATCAGTCACCAGTGTGCAAAAGGCATTTTTTGTTTGTTTTTTGTTTCTTAGGTTTTTCTTTAGGGATAAGGAGTTGTTTTATTTTTGGTAACAAGGAATTAGAATATTTCTACAACAGCCTTACACAAAAGATACTGTCATTTCTTCATTGGATATTTTGCAACCATACAAAACTTCCCCCAATCTTACTTCACATCTGCCGGCATTTTACGAGGCACAGCCATTTTATCTGAAGGAAAATGTTATTATAGGATCATTTCAACTTACAAAAAATACCTGTAGGTTAATTTTCATAATTAAATTATGGAAATACATTAATGTAATTTATAGAAACAGGAAAATCATTTTGAAAATGATTATCTTTAAATATAATTTTTAGGAGATTAGACACCATTTACATTAGAGAATACTACCAGTAATAGACATCTGTCGAAAAAAAAAGTACAAGATTAATCATCTAAGCAGGCAGGATTTTATTTTTAATCCCACCTCCTTTTGTCTTCTCTCTGCAGCCTCTGCAAGTTTGGCTCTCTTCTCTTCCTAAGGAAAATGAGAAAAATTTGTTTAAAACAAAACTGTTTATCAAGGATGTTATATAACTATATTTTATAGGTAATATAACAATTTACAAAAATATTTAGTACTGTCCCAAAATGTCCCACAAGGAATGCCACTATTAGAACATTTATAAAATACTAAAGTTTCTTAACTTCATTCTCCTAATCAATATACCTTCAAATCAGTACATGTTAAAATAAATATAAGCAGGTTGGCCTACATAATCACCTATTTGCTTTCTTTCAGCAAAAATGACTTACAAGCTAGTTGGGGCAATAATAAAACAAATGATGTTTAAAAATATAAGGAGGGAAAATACATGGTTTGGTACTGCCAGTGAAAAGGAGTCTGAAGTAGGAGGGCATTTTCAGGATAGCTTCATGAATGAAATGGGCTAATCTCATTTGTATAGAAAGGGAAAGACTGGAGCAAACTTGTGAGAGGCACTATCCCATGTTGGGAAACAGTGAATATTACTTTTCTACACTATGTTCTACCTAATTATAAAATCTTTAAATATATAAGACAATGAATAGCATTCTCTTGGGGACTGGTGTTAATAATTCCCTTCTTTTCCATACCACAATACATACATTCATCCATTGGACAAATATTTATTGAGTACCACCATGCCTCAGGAACTTTTCTAGGTGCTGGGGATACAGCAGTTAAAAAAACATGGATAAATATCTCTATCCACATGAAACTTAAATTCCAGTTAGGGCACACAAATATAATCAAGTAAATAAATGTCTGTAAATGGCAGCAAGAGCTTCGGGGGGAAAAAAAGAGTATAATGGATAAGTAATGAGAAAATGAGTGAGTGGTATAGTGGGGAATATATTTTATGTTAGGGTGGTCAGGAAAAGCTTCACTGATAAAGTGACATCCAAGCAGTGAGCCAAGCGATTATCATGAGAAGAGGTAATTTCATGGAGATGGGAGGGCATAACAAATATTGACAGGTTAGTATTTTATCATCAGCCAGAGAAAGAAATTAACATCACTTAAAAGCAGCAGTAGCAACAAAGAAAAGTTGATCTTTCCCACATCAACTTCCAGGTCATTTTTAGTACCTATGATCAAATGGCTGAAGAGTTAACGCATCTCCCTAAAGATCTCATTTTCTTCAACTAATTTTTAGCTAGATAGGAAAGAAGAGAGGAACTTAGGTTTTCTATGTTATCCTTACTAATGTAAGGAGTAACATAATAGGCACAGAAAACATACAATTAATAATAGAAAGCTACAAAAAGTACAAATGTACTCCATATCACCTAGTTAGATTTGAATTTCAGATAAAAGAGAAATAATTTTTAGTATAAATACATCCCAAATACTGCATGGCATAAAGCTATCTTAAAAATGCATTCCTTGTTATATGAAATTAAAATTTAATTGGGCGCCCAGTACTATTATTTGTTAAATACGGTAACCCTACAAATAGTATACTCAGTGTGACGGAAAACAATATTTTTTTAAAAAAGAAGGAACTTAAAAGAATGAGATAAATATTAAAAGGAAATCACTGACTACTAAAAAATAAAGCGCAGGAGTATAAGCGACTTTTTTGAGCACCTTCTTTAAACAGCTGGTACAAACACAGGAAAATGCACATCTCCTAGAACATAAGCGCTTCAGCTCACGGACAAACAGAAATTTCTCCTTGCACCGTAGCTCCCACCGCAGCGCATAGACGGCCCGGGCACAGCACACCTTCTGCAGAAACCGGCCTTCCACGAACTCCTACTCCCAAATTGCCAAAGGCAGAGAAAGGTAAAAAGACAGAGACGCCTTTGGACAATTTTTTATTACGAAAGTGGAGAAACCGACAGGGAGGCGGCGGCCCGGGTCGCGCCGGCAGGACCCTCCAGACTCATGCACACGTCCTCGCCACCAGGGTCCCCAACGGCGGGGCGCCCCGGCCCGCGCCACCTTGTCCAACGGCCCCCCCCTGGATACCCGCAGCNTGACGCCCCACCCCCACCTCCTCGTCTCCGCTCCGCCCCCCGTCCGCCGCCGCTCAGCTCCGCCTCTCTGCGGCAACGCCTTTCCTTCTCTTGCTCGGCCCCGCCCACTGCAGCTCGGCCCCTCCCCCCTGAGGCAAGGCCTCGTCCCCACCTACAGCTGCCTCGCCTAGGCCCGCCCCGGGAGCGCCTGGCCTGGGGATAAGGCCTAGGTTCCAGGAAATACCTGCTTCGGGCACTGTGCAGGAAAGGTATTGAAAAGCTTGGCTGTTATTCCTATTCCCCTTGCCTTGCCACTTATAAATGAATGAAAGTACTCTAGCCTCGAAGAAATTAAACCTACAATTGCAAGTTGACATCAGCACCCGATGCTGCTTTCTTAGAGACAGTACTACTCCAGTAGAGAGGACAGAACATCAAATCCAGGCAACATTAATTCTGGCATGTTTTGAATGAGGCATTATGTGAGATTTCCACTAGTCTCTGGTACCTGGGATTCACTTATCCCTCCAAGGGCAATAATAGTTTTATCTGTTCAGAAATATATTAATTAAATACTTCTCAAATTTTAATAACCATAAGAATCACCTGGGCATCTGGTTAAAATGTAGATACTGATTTAGTAGGTCTAGGGTGAGAACTGAGATTCATTTGAAGTTACTGATCTGCATGCTAAGAAGCCTTAGCTTTTGATTATTTTTTTCTTGCATTCTATTAGTTATTCCTG